TTTTTTTTCTGAGCCCGCTGATTTCCTGACCTCTCTCATCTTGCCAATAATTATTGGTATTATTGTGTAATATGTTCCTGTCACTCCGCTGGACACGCCAATTACGGATTTTGGGAAGCGACTCATTTGCCGTGTTTTGTTCGCTTCCTGGTGAAATTCTTCGTTGTGACGGAAGAGGTTGAAGAGCCGGAAGGCGGGGGGACACCCGCGGGCGATGGAGGTGCCCCTCACTGCCATTATTGCTCATCTGAATGGCCATACTGATCTTGCTGATGAATGACTGTAGCCATATTGTTCAGCAAGCAATGCATCTTCAACTCTTGGTGGCATTCTGTGTCAGGAGATGTGTGGATTTCATGCGCAGTTTAGGGTTCCAGCAATGGAGATGTACAGACACCGAAGGATAGTACATCGCGCTGTAGCGAGCTCATTGGAATGCGCAGAAATGGTATAATACTCGTGGTCACCGCAGTGGACAAAGGGCTACAGATAAAACGCATTGAGGATTTTCAGCCGATAATCTAATTGCAGAGAAATGCCCACTTGACATGCGGTGACTTCAGATTTCCAATCACTGCCAGTGCAGTTTGCGATGGGAAGGAGTATTACGATCAGAAGTGTATTCAAAACCCTAACTCCAGCACGAGACTATCCGACCACATACCGTTGCTACGCCGTCGCCATCGATCTTCCTCGGGAGCAGTGCAGCCCAGAGCGAAAGACCGCACTTTCCATTCGATCAAAGAAACGCCGTGAGAAAAAAACACTGCCCTGCTTTCTCCGGCACGCTGACTACATAATAGCGTGCATGGCTGTGACCTCAAGCGTAAATGATCGTTTCAAGTACAGCCAACTTCTGACATGAATTGCGCCAATGTGTTCCGTTTTGCGTAGCTGCCGCTGGGAAGCTTCCCCAAAGCAGCGGCTCTCCCAGTTGTTCTTACCAGGTCCTCGCATTGACATCCGGCCATGTTTGCGAATCCAGAAGGCGCGGGGAACACAACAGCAAGCGACGTGCACTCTGCCGAATTGGCGTCTCTGGCGGCGCAGATAGAGGAGCGAGCGGGCGAAGGGACGCTATTCACCGCCGCTCCTGGGGAGCAAGTCATGGGTCTGTCGGTGAGGCTCCGTTGGGCACAGCAGCGCGAAAAATATCAATGGCACATGTGGCGGCGCAGCGCGACAGTTCCTAATTTGGGACTGATGCACTATAATAGTTCAGTCCAAAATTATGCAAATAATTTGATATACAGTAGGGGTCCCTGTATGGCGCCCCCCTAGCATGGCCAAAACAGGGACGAAATTGGGGGCCGGGGTGGGGGGGTGGGGGGTGGGCTATTGTGTTAGGGGGGGGGGGGGTACCCTAAGCAGCCGGTGTAAAGGGGGCCCTGGCCGCCGGTGTAGGGAGTACCCTAAGCTGCGGGGGTACTCTGGCAACCAGAGTAGGGGGTACCATAGCCTACCGGGCCCATAATGGCATTTAGGTGCCAGCGACTTAGTCGCAGCGCCAAAGTCGCGGGCGCTGGGGCCTGTCATGGTGAAATGAAGTACCACGGAAACGGTGACAAGCCGTTCAAGGGGTCGCTAAAACTAGACAGGTCGCTGAAGAGGGGTCGCTAACCCGGGACCCCCGTGTACTAGTTTGAGGTCCCTCTGCGCAACAATAATGCATAAAGTACTGCAGAAATGGTGACAACCGCGGGGGGAAGGGCTGGGCTATATAGGGCCCCGTACTGTACTTGAAAGAAGTAACTTATTATATAGTATCATATGATACAAATCACTAGAACACGTTTGATGTAATTTGGTATCCTTCGAACCAACAGACAGTACATTATTTTGAAACTTTTTGAATTGCACGTTATTGCGTTGGAAAGCAATTTCCTCTCGAGCGAGGAGCGTTCCTGGGGGGCGCAAAAACGATCCCTCAGATATTGTGGTCCGTTGCTGTTGTTGCCACTGGAGTCCCAAAATTGCGTCATCCCAAGGGCATTGATGACGTCGACGACGCGCCCAGGTCGAAGCTGTGGAGACGCGGGCATCCCTCCTTCCCACGCTGCCCTGCATATTCAGCTACGACAATGAAGGTGTTATGGCCTCAAAAAAACCCTAATCACCCGAAAAAGATCTTCACGACCTTTGTGCACTATTATGACCTTCATGTCCGGGAAAGTTGGGCATCAGATACTTGTGGCCACCACCAGGTCGAAGCCGTGGAGACGCGGGTGTCCCTCCCGCCCGCCCCCCCGTGCATCCCCAGCTGCAAAAGTCTCACAGACTCCAACCGGGCGGTGTGCGACAACGGCCAGTGCGTGTGCCTCAACCCCGCCCACACCTACCACGAGGCCCAGACACTGGACGGCCTCCTGGGGTCCAACTCCTCAGAGGTGTCCAATGCACAGCCCAGCGGCTGCTACAGGGATGTACTGGACGACGTGAGCGGCGCAACTGTGGTGCAGCTCGGCGGAGAAAGCGGAGGAAAGGGCAGCTCAAAAAACGTGGGAGCCATTGCGGGGGGAGTGGTTGGAGGCGTGGTGGCCCTGGTTGTGGCCGTGGGTTTGGCCGTGTGGGTCAAGAAGGGCAAGGGCAAGCTGCGGCCCTTTGCCTATTTCGTGCACCCCAAGAACTCGACCGAGGGGGAGGAGGCGGGCCAGGGGGCCCGACTGATGGGGACGTTCAGCAAGAAGTGGGCGCTGGAGAGGAAGGCGGCTGAGGCCAACAAGGAGGGCTCCATCCGGGCGGGCATGTCGCCGGCGGAGAGGCTCCAGGGTGCGGCAGGCGCGCCTGGTTTTGGGCGGAACGTTGGTCGCACGTCTGTCCTGCTCATGTAGCTGAAGTCAGAATGCTACGTAACGTACGTTTGAGACAACGAAAGGACATCTGAGCGCAGTGACCTGGTGGTGGAGGCAAACTTGTCGAAGTGTGTAATATTCACACTAAAGTTTGTATGTAGTCGCGTATGTACATAAAGTCATATGATAAAGTACATATGTTTGTACATAAAGTCATGTATGTAACGTTCACACTAAAGTTGTGCGAATGCGTGGTGTGCGTGCGTGGGAGTTTCCGGTGCGCTGGGCAGCAGTCCATGTTTTTGTTCTATTTCGAAGAACCTGGAAGTGTTTACTTTGCGTCGGTAAGGTTGCTTCAGAAATTTGAATCAAATGGCGGTAGAACGTAAGTGACAAGCAGCTTAGCAGCGCGCCATGCAAGGTAGGCAGGCGGCTTCCAGCAAACGCGCAGATTTCTCACCAAGATTTAAGCTCCATGAACATTCCAATACAGAGCGTGTGCCACGATGAATTCAAAGTTCAGGCAAATTTTCCCCCTCATCGTGCACATCCGTGCGCACGCGACCCCTACTTCCACGACGAAACGTGGCACAAAAGCCCTTAAATGCTTTATAGTACTGGATCGAGCCGCTCGTTCCTGAAAGGGTGCTGATGGCAGCAGGTGCCGTTCCGCCCGCCGATTCGCCCAGCGGCTCGGCGCCCGTTCCGGAGACAAGCCCCGCCAGCGCCACGCCGCTGGTGCCAAAGGCCAAGAAGGCGAAGAACAAGGAGTCCGGTGACAAGCCCGACTGGCAGACATGAGCACGCACCGGCAACACTTGTGTCCAGTTCTTCATCCACCCAATGGCGCTGCCTAAAGGTGTTCGCTCTGAGGATGCGATTTAGCATTCAAAGTCTGCCTTCAAGCTCTGCATAGGTGCAGATGGGCAGTACTGGTGAGCAGCCATCCCCAGTTCGGGTGTGTCCTGATCACAAGCGCATTGAGATGGAAGGGAGAAGGTGCAGTGAGGGGCACACGTGCTCTCATATGTCCAAGGGCTATCCTGGGGCTCGATTCGATTGAAGCTTCAGGGAGCCCGGCGCTTCTTGTTCACTTGGGCGGTTGGCTTGTCATTTCGATCCAAAGTTTGGATCCAAATTTTGGACACCTAGTGTCCCATAGGGCTGAGGGGCTTGTAAATGCAGGCAGACTCGCTGTGATCATCTTGGGCGATATGGAATAGCATTCGAGTGGCGTTCGTGGTGATGGCGCACCGGCTTGATGGTGTGGTAGACAGCGATCTGGTAACAGTTGTCGAATTAGCAATTCCTCCTTTGCGTGATGATGAGAGTTTTGCAGCGAGCACGGCCAGCTGCGATGTACATAGCGCCGGCTGCCGAACGCAGCAAAGACTGTGGGCGTGTGCGGGACATTTCATGCTTTGGAAGTTTTGTTGTCATGCCTGGAAAGCGTTGAGGGGCTCTTGCAGGGGTTTGCCAGCGTGTGGCTCATGACTTCACCGTACATTGTGACTCCTCTGGCCTGAGTTCAAGCGTGGAAAACCTGAGATTTTCTTCGATTTCTGTGAGTCCGTCCTTTGGGGACAGCAGCACACACAATCAATGTACTACTTCCTATAGTAGTGACATGCAAGCTGGCCAGGACTTTTGAGGCAGTGTTTGCCACACGTGCTCATCCCTGCACCACGGACAAGAGAGAAAACAGGAACAAGGTGTAGAAATGCAGCATCAGCTGGAATGGCTTAATCAATTGAATGATACCCAACAACAGCATGTACTGGACAAATTGAACCACCCAAAGTTCAAAGGCACAAGTTGGCACCTGTGCGTAAATGCAAGCATAATCAAAGTTTTGTGACCGCAAAATGCACATGCTGTTTCCAATGAAAGCAATGCAGCACAATCCAAGGGTGCGTACTTGGAGTGGGCACGAAGGCGCGGCCTCCTGCAACAACCTCCATCTCGCTTTCCAATGGATTTAAAGAATGAGTAATGTACAGCGCAGCAGGCCACCCAAGGTTCACAAAATTACGAATTGACAATTCAACCCTACCCCCTCTACTCCCCCTACTCCCCCTACTCCCCCTACCCCCCTTACTTACTCGCCCTACTCGCCCTACTCGCCCTACTCGCCCTACTCGCCCTACTCGCCCTACTCGCCCTACTCGCCCTACTCGCCCTACTCGCCCTACTCGCCCTACTCGCCGTTCAGCCCCCCCTGCTGCCCCTCCCTCCCACACCCCAAGCCTGACACCTCAGCACCTGCTCTACGGCATGCTGCACCAGCGGGTGGCACTTCCCGGCAACTTCCTTGACCTCCTCTGGGCCCAGCAGCCTGACCAGCTTCCCCACAGGGTGCACAAACGAGTGTGGGGTGTAGGGGTCCCTGGCAAACTCGTGCCGGCCATTGTGGAAATGAGCCACCTGGTCCAGCATGTGCAGCGCCTTCCGGCAATGCCCCTGCTCAGCGTAGGTTTTGGACAGAGCCAGCAGTGCTGTGAGGTTAAAGCCGCGGGCCAGGCACACCCGGAAAGCCTGCTCGGCCTCCGCGTGGCGCTGCAGCCGCTGGCACAGCAGCGCCCGACGCACCCAGTCCCTCTGGTTGGTTGTTGGGATGCCCCAAGACTCGCCTTCCTCCGCCTCCCTGGGGCTGTCGCAGGTGAGCTCGCCCAGTGGGGGCTTCCACTCGGGCTCCGGAAGCTGCTCCTCTGCACCCAGGATCTGCCCCGCCATTCCCATCCCCAGCTCGGACTTCAATTTCTTGTCAAAGTGAGCCAGCGTCGAGTACGTGGCCAGGTCGTCCCAAAGGGCCAGGATCAGCTCATCCAGCCACGCAGCACACTCCGACTTGTCTGTTTTGTCATGCTTCGACGCCTCATCGCTGGCATGGGGCTCTCCCTGAGCTTCAGCCACCCCATCAGGTGCTGCATCAGGGACTGCATCAGGCACCTCAACTTTAGCAGAAGGGCCAGCAGACAGCGGAGGGCCGTCCAAAGGATCAGAACCAGCCGCGCCTTTGCCCCCAGCCGGGGGAATGCCAACACTCTGAGCCGGCCTGTGGCCGGGCCCGTCACCAGGACCCTTCCACTCATTAATGTCCATGGAATGCCACCCCCTCTTCACTATCAACCGAGACACGGTCCCCTCCACAGTGCCCTCCTCCAGCTCTGCCGGCTCTCCGTCCTCTGAATCCATGACGCTTGTGCGCGGCGAAAGATTCCCCAGAGAAGCCTCAGTCTCTGACTGGTAGGCCCACCCCAGTGTGAGAAACTCCGCCATCGGCATCGACCCCTGCCGTGTCACCCGCCCCTCCACCGTCCACGGCTGGGTCACCTTTGCCATCTCCTTCTCCTCAACCAGGGATTGAAAGAACTTCACCCGGTCCTTAAGGTTATGGGGGACTATGTGCTGCACCTCCTGCACCCTGGCCTTGGTGATGGATGCAGGGTCCTTTGGGCGGTCCTTACCCGCCTTCCACTCTCGAACCTTGAAGATTGGTGCTGCCGGCGCTTCGCCTGGTGCCACTGGGTGCCTTGGCGGTCTGCGGAAGCCCGTGGCCTGATCCTGCGAGTCCCGGCTGGACTCGACCGCCAGTTCTGACACGTGGCCAGGCCTGCCCCGTGGCGACGACGACCAGTCACACGATCGGTCATCGTCGTCCTCGGCGTCAGCTTCATTCCCTGCTTCGTCATCTGCGAAGTCTTGGGGACGCCTGCCCTTCACCCTTGCCCTTATCTCTAGTTTCATGCTCTCATTGTTCCAAGTCGTAGCAGATTCCTTTGCCTGTACGCTAGGATGGGCAAATCTGGATGATGCCCCCAAAGCGTCAGACCGTTGAGCTTCACCCTCGTGGGGCACTCCGCTCCCAGTGCTCGATGGCATGGCATCCATATGCAGATTGCCACACTCTTCCCCATTTGGCAGGTGCCCCTGCTCACCCACCTGGACCTGAGTACCACAGCCGGCATTTTCTGGCGTGGCACAACCACCTGCGCTGTGAGCAGACGCATCCACTTCAGAACTATTCTCTATCAAAGTATCACGAATCCCACCCTCAGCAGTGCCCTGCACCACCTGGGGTCCAGGCACTGAGTCCACAGCGGCTCCAGCACTGTGCTCAACCCCCAAGCCCCCCCTCGCGACCCCTGCAGACCCCGCCTCATCGCCCTTGCTGTCGCTGCTGGGTGTTTCAGGCGTCAGCCCATCATCTTCATCAACATCGCCACCAGCATCAGATCTGCTATCCCGACTCGCGCCCATCTCGTCCCCCCTTCGTGGCGTCCCGGGCTCTGGCACGCTGTTCGCGCTCCTCTCCACGCTCAGCCTCTCATCCTCCCTTTCCAGGCACTGGTGAAAAAGTGCACCAAAAACGTGGTCAGGAAACGAAAGCCAGGAAATTATCCTTTACATTATCTACTACTAAGAACAGCCTGCTGCTGTAATTTTACTGCGATTTAGATCAGGATTTGGTGCACTTCTACCACCTTTTTTTATGTTACCAACGCACGATTGCCATCAATTGGACAAGATTCAAACATAGCATTTTGCATTAAAAGGGCGAATCGATCAAACAAGTTGGCCAACGCACTGGCTAAAATTAACTGAATTCTGCAAAATGGCCTACTCTCTGCAAGTGAGACCCACCCTGGATGCTTCTCCTGACAAACCCTGCGGAGTCATGGGCTCCTGGACACCATCGCTGCCATCCTCACCACCTTTCCCATCCACTTCCCCGACCTTCAGAGGGTGGCCTCCACCGAGCACCCCCCGCCCACCAACTGCAGCTTTGGAAACCTCACTTGTCGCTTCCCTCACCGCTTCTTTCTGCCCATCCTGCACCATCTCCTCACTCTCTGTGGCTGCTGGAGCAGTGGGCTCTGCCACATTCGCTGTACCTTCAGTATTGGCACCAGCTGGCACAGCACCAGTGCCCTCATCCATAGCAGTCGCCGCTGTGGATGGTGCAGGAACAGCACTGGGCGCCCCAGCCTCTGCACTGGAATTCGTTGGCTGGTTTGCCGCACCTCCCTCCTTTGGCACCAGGTGGCTGGTGATGGGTTGCACCAGCTCGCCCAGCTGCTCGCTGATCCGTTTGGTGAACGACTTCTGCTGCGGCTCAGGGTCAAGCTTCACGAATGCTTCCTTGAACAGTATGCGTTGGATTTCAGAGGCGGAGGTTGAACGGAGCAGGCCTGATGTTGTGACAGACTCCTCCGCGTCCCCTTCCGCATCTTCAGGCGGAGCTGCACAGTGCCACGATAGTTTTCAGGCGACAGTACAGGACAACCAAACAACCAATCCTTGCACACTGTGGCCCAGTTCCACACTATGAGATGGCCATTTGAGCAACAAGCTGTGTGGTCAGTTCTTTTTCATGGACTGTTTCTCATTGGGGTGATAGTTTTCCGCCATATGGTGTGTTCATGTTTGCTCACCTGGCACTAGAAAGATATCTGCCCGAACCTTCATAAATTCCTCCCATCCCACACCCTCCACAATCTGGAAGAGCAGGTTGAAGGAAGATCGCACGATTGCACGTGTCGCATGCGACGGTGCCACCTCTGGGGCAGCTGCTGAGTTCTCAGGCTCCCATGGGACGATCACCTCGGCTGGTAGGGATTGGATCAGAGTTGCAGGGGCTCTGGACTCGTAGGAAATCTGGCGGAACTCAGCTATCTGCACGTGTCCACACCACCCCAGCCAGGTTTTGCAACTTATCACATTGACCGTCGTTTTTGACAATTGTTTCACAGCATGAAGTTTCAGCAACACCCACTGGAGGCCCCATATAGTCCAATAGCGGCCACTGCCAGCAGGAAGAAGACCGCGGAGTTAGCTGCATATCGATGTGGCAGTTATGGCTGCTCAGTGGTGAATGGGAATGGATGCAGTCTGGAAGCAATTTGAGATGTGAACTCCACCCTGTTATCCTTTTCCATGTTTGATCATGTTCGTTATGTCTTCTATCTGTTTTGGAAACACAATCAACTCAGACTCAGGACACGCCTACACCTGTGCCACCCAATAGCTGACAAGTGCATTAAACCAGGGATGGTGGAGGTATAACACTTTGGCATGACATGACAGGCACAAGGCTTGGTGCTCACTAACAACCTTAGACTGTGCAATCATGTAACATGTGCTCTGTTGTGCACGTGAGACCCTCACGGACTGTTGGCAAACTCTATGCTGGCACATATCTTGGACTCAGGGCCAGGACAAACTGGCATGTTTAACATTTATATTGTTGCCTGCACACCTTTATTTGTACCAATTGCATTCAACATGTTTTGCATGTTCTCTGCAGCACCCTGGAGGATAGTGCACAAGTTGCCAACACAAGCATCTTACTTGATGTACTTCCTCTGTCCTTAAATGAACACATTTGGAAAAGTCCATTTACACCACTGAAATGAAGCTTAACGTCAGTAAAAACAGGAAGGCCCAAAAAACCAGGCCCAAAACCCTATGAACCTCCATTATTCCCACAGAATGCTGCCGTTCAGTTCATTTTGCTGTCCTCCAAAATGAGACGGCCTTTGGCCAGGAAGTGGTAGTTCACATAATGTGCCATGTCATATGCAGCTTGGCCTTGGCAGCCCTGTAGCTTTAGGATTGCTATCGCCACGTTCAGACTGAGTGGCGTTGGAATCTCTACGGGCCTGGTGCCGTGGGGTCCCACGTGAAGAGGCCATTTTTGGCAAGAGCAGCAAGACCTTGAGGATTTCGAATATTGTGCCCCAATCACACACGTTCAATATACTCTTACTTGTGCAGTACTGATCTGGTTTTTACAAAAACCTGCGAGCATCTAACAAAGCTACATACACTATTCTGGACAAGTTTTCGAGGAGAAATAACAAGTTCGTGATGTAAGCTCAGCCTCTCAAAAAAAGGCGTTCAATTAATTCTGGACAGAGCAAGTAGATCGCGAACCTGGTGGAACGGTTGACCACTCACCTCGGGGTGATACTGCGGTTGCAGGGGTTTAGTTATGCCTTTGGGTGTCGGAGGTATGACGTGGAACAAGAGCTCCTTCCGCGAGGCATCCATGATCGGTGGTGGCATCGAGTTTAGGGCAGTCAGTGCTGCGGTGTACTCCTTCTTTTGAACAAGGCAGTTGATGAGCAGCGTCCATGCCGGTCGCACCTGGCAAATGGGAAGGTACCACAATTCGGTAAAAATGGGCAACACAATTGGTGGTTGTTTCCTACTGCCATCGTGGCAATGGGAACTAAGTATTTGGGAACCGAAGAACTGGGAACATGTACAATCCAATGAATTCTTGCAAATCCTAGCACATTTGTAAGCTTGACTCATTATTTGTAACACAATTGCCGCGACATGGTTCACAACAGTGTCACCCCCTCCAACAATCCACTGACTGTGGCAATCTCCATCAAGAGTCCACCACCTGTTACAACAATACTTGCTGCAAAAACACTACTGCCATCATTCCTGCACACAGTACTGCAACATTCTTTACCCCAACACCACAAGTAGTTAGATTCAGAATCAACAAGTTTGAACAAATGTGCACTTTTGCCAGAACAGGAGTTCATGGTCCTCACCAGTGTGTCATCCTCCAATGCCCTTTTTGCCATCTCCTCCGCCAAAGCCACATCGCCCCGCCTCAGCCTATCCCAGCCTAGGGCCACTGTCAGGGCAGTCTCATCGCTCCCTGAACATGTCCCTTGGGCTGCCTCGAGGGTGGTGCTCGCCGCATCAGAGTCACCCATCTTTTTTTGAACTGCAGCGATGTAAATGGCGGCAAGCGGGTGGTAATGCTTCAGCCTTGTGAAGAAGTCCAAGGCCTGCAGATTGGAGACCAACCACAGTTTCGTCATAACAACATTTACAAGTATCAATGTTTGATTAAAGTGCAACCATGCACATCGGTGCACTGTGAAGATCGCAATCGCAAGGGCAGGCATGCACAGCTGCATGATGTTCCCGTCTTGGCTGCCAAAGCTTCACATCAGCAGAATCAATTTTCAGAGTGCGAAACAACAAGGTTCTACAGACCGTCAACATCCCAACACAAAAATGGAAACGCAGAAGAAAAGGAGACAAGAGGGAAACACAACAGTGAAATATTAAGATGAAGTGCGGCAGCAACCAAGCACAAACAGAGACAGCACATGCTGCGGCGATCCAACTCCATATTTGGCACTGTGTTTTCGTCCATTGTCACGGCATTCCAAATCGTTAACGCTCATTCTCCCAGTTTGGCTAATCGACACCACTGCTGATTCGCATTGGCTGCTATTTGCGAACAAGGAGGGCACGCTTGTAAACCGCTGGCAACTGCGCACTCAACCAGCACACCTCAACAGAAACAGATTCAAGCAGAAAGAAACAAAGTGAAAAGGGGTAGAAGAGACCTGAAAGGGAAAAGCGAGCTAGGCAAAACAGCAAACAGGCACCGACAACAGACAGTGATGGCTATCTACGAACTGCTCTTTCATTGGAGATGCCTGGCACCTGATGTTATCAAAACCACACGAGGACACGCAGCCTCTGACCCCATGCGTCCAACAGGCCAAATGCAGTCCTTCAACCTTTGCCTTTCATGTGAAACGCCTCTGCTTGTGCCATGCACCGGTGATGTATGAAATTCAGGGAGAGAGAAGCCCCCGCGGCATGCAGGCGCTGACATACCCAAATCCGCACACCATCATGTTCCGAACCATTCATCTGCCCAGGTGTGCGCAAACACTGCGCAACAAAAGCTTGCAACAAACCAAGCTCGGCTGCTCACCTGCTGCCACCTTTGGGTCTTGCCAAAGTAGTGCATCACCGTCACCGCCACAATATCCGCGTCTTCCGCTGTCACCCCCTTGCTCCTGTCCCAGTGCAGGCGTTCCAGGCAGCCAGCCAGGGTGCCCTCCCTGTACAGGCCCATGAGCATCTCCAGCACAGTAGACTCCTCCCTGGCTGTGGGGAAAGGGTCCAGGTGCCGGACCGCCTTGCTGCTGGACACGGTCGCAGCATCGTAGAGCTGCGAGCGCAGGAAGCACGCCACGTGCAAGCGCTTCCAGATCTCCGGTGTGACGTCAAATCTGGCGGCGAGGATCGACGCCATGTTAGTTCTCTAATATTCCCACTACTATCGTGCTCTTCTTTGGGTCAATTTCCTCCTGGGCTTGGGGTGCAATGGGTGCTGAAACAACATACAAAAATTCTCTACTATTGCTGAAAAAGCAGCCAAGAAAGATCCCAATCACTGCCGAAAAGACTGCAATTGCCTAAAATTGACTACAGGGTTGAACTGGACGGCTATGGATTCAGGGAGGTCAGAAGTGGCTTTCCTTGGGAGGGCACCACCCATCACAACCTCCGGTTGTCACAAACTGGTGCTTAGGCTTGACACCATGGGTTGGAAGCTGCTTTCTATGGATTCTGCTATTCATGCCCACAGGTAACCATCTAGGCTCTCTGATCAGAACTATCACGTTCAGCTGACTCCTGTTGCATTTGCCTTCACAAGACAGCATAAGGTAAGATCCCATTACCTTGGACGCGCTGAAGGCAGAAATACAGAGGCAAAGCATTTAGTCGCTTATAATTGCTTCAATTCTACACCTTCTGCTTGTTCACAGCAACAACAAATAGCAGGCATGGCATCTACATGAGACAGAAACACTTCCTTCAGCTCTGGACATATCTTATTATTGCATCTCCATTCCCCGAGCACCAAAACATACTCCATTTCCTTTACTGGTTGTGTCCATCACACCCAGGACATACTCACAGTTGCCCAGCACTGTTGACGGCCCTTGCGGCGACCCCTCCTGGAACGCACATGTCGCACCACACGTCCAGCTGAGAGAAGGGGTCGTAGCAACAGTAGATACCTCGCTCAACGGAGCAGTCTCTGGTCGAAATCAGACCTTGCAAGAAGCTGCCCTGGAGTTCATCACGGCAGCCAAGCGTCAGCCAGATCGACACAGATGCAGACAAATCCCTCAGCAACAACCACTGGTGCCATCAGCTTGATTTCAAGAACAAAGCTGCAGAAATCGTCTCTTCGTTACAGGGCATAAACTATACTCCAATGGAACACCCTTATGGGCAATATAGGCACAAGCAACAACACTTAGGTCCTGTGCCCATTCTGCCTGTAACGTTGTTTGCAGAAACCCCCCGCCTGACTAAAGCTGTGCATGAACACCTTCTCCACTCTCGCTATGTTGCAGAAAATCTCCCAGTGCCGTGTGGATGGCACTCCTGATGGGGTGAACCCCCGCAATGTTGAGAACCGCCATTGAACAGTGATGGAGTGTGGTCCACCGCAAACAAGGCGACATGCACGGCACTCAGTATGTGAAAATGCTGGTTAAAGTTACAACCTAAACAGTTGGGCACCATACTTGGACACCATTCCCAAAGGTTGACCACCACCTTCATAGACCAGGGCTGTCATGGGACATTGAAAAGACTTGCACTTTGGTTTTCATCAGTTGGACTGCATCAGCTTTAGAGGTGGTGTGTCGATGAGCAAGGATGGCTGGAGGCATGGGCAGCCCAGCTTGCCTTGAAAGGGGGGCAAGTAACACGGCTCCAGGAATCGACACCCTTGGGCGCCTGTGCGCTCCTCCTGTTGCACTGGAGACTCAACGTCATCTCGCAGCATGGAAAAGGTTCACTTCCGCACATGGGAGGGAATGCCCTTTGAGTGACGTACTTCTTCTCTTTCTTTCTAGATGTTTAGATGCGGGGTTCAACAGCAGGCTGCCAGAATCATCGCCCGGCCGTTGAGCAGCACCCCCACGCGGCAAGCCACCACCACGTCTGCGCACTTCACGACGCAAGCTTGACCCGCGCTCGTCCACGCGACGCAGGCGCTCAGCCCCAGTCCCGGACTCTCCTCGTTCGCTCACAGCCGCGCCTCAACGGATCGCCCCTTCGCGCGTCCGACAAGATCGGCGCCGCGCCCACACAACGCCTTCCCGCGCCCAATCTCCGCCGCCCACGCCGGGCCCGATATTCGTCCTATTGGGTCTCCAAGAGCCCCCACCCCCTCTTTCCCTTCCCCAACATTCTCACGATGTCGCTGGCCCCAGGCCCCCCCGGCAACTGCGCAGATCGCCGGCGCAAATCCAAGGCAACGCACCCTCCCGTCCCTCGTGCCTCCCCCACTTCCCGTGGCGCCGGGCCCTAGCCCCCACTCCACCCCCCGCCCCGCCGACCGTCGAATCTGTCCCCTAACTCGCGCGATGACTCCGCCCCAACCCACCCACCCATGCCGGCGCTCCGAAACCCGTTTCGGCCTCCCACGCTCGCAGCACGCCACGCCGCCCGCCAGAAAATCGCGCCCCAGTCTCCGTTCTTCCCGCACACGCAAAATCGGCGCGCTCACCGCGCAGAAGCCGTTCAGGCCGTCCACCCAAAGCCCCACCCACCCTGAGAACTCCCCCATCCAACCTCCAAACAACTTGGGTACTTTCGGCCCAAACTATCCAAACAGAACCGCACAGCCCGTGCAACCGGGTCCCCCCCCCCCCCCGGCGGACTGAACATCAGCTTCACACAAAGCAAAGGAAAGGCAAGATTCTCGCGCACGCTTGCTCAGGACGGGGCTGCCCTTTTGTGAGACCCGTTTCCCTCCCTCTTCGTCACAAAGCTCCCCCCTTACCCCCTTCCTTACCACACCCACCTTCTCAACCCCGGCGGCCATGCTCGCAAAGTACGCCGCCACGGAGGCGCTGGAGCCCACATCCAGGCCCAGCACCCAGTGGTAGTAGCCCCGAGCGTCTCCGTTCCTCCTCCTCAGGATCCCGCGAACGGATTTCTGCACCCAGCACAGGTCCGGCGGCCCCAGGCCGCGCGCCGCCCCCAAGGACGCCACCGCCTCGTCGCGCGAGGCCAGCGCCTCGCCAAATCGGCTCTCCGCGCTCTCCGGCGTCTTGCGCACCGTCTCCGCCATCCTTCCGTCTCGACGGATCGACGGAACGACCGGGCGGAGCGGGCTCCGTCGCCGCCGGAGGAGGAGGAGAGCGGGGCGGCCCGCGGCAGACGCCCCACCTCCTCCTGGAACCCTTCGGGCGCGCCTGGCGCGATGCCTGCCAAAAGCTTCGGCAGCGATCGGCCCAGGGACTGGTTGACCGCCCCCCGAGCGTGCGTGCGCGGGTTGGGGGCGGCTGGGAGCTCCGCCTGGCGCGACGGTACGCTGGAGGGGGGGAGGGGGCGGGGGTGCGAATCGGCGGAATCCAGGGCGGATGGGTTGGCCTTCACACCGGGGGCCGGGGCGATGTAGCGGCACCGGGGTCGTGGGCGCCTGGGTGGCGGGTGCCCGTACTTTGGCGAGCTCGCGTTGCGCAGGGCGGGGGACGAGTGACGCGCGGGCCAGAGTGACTGGGGCGGGCCGGCTCGAAGCTGGCTGATCGCGGCTCGCGGGCCTTGTGATGGTCCTCCAAATGCGGTTTAGGGCATTTGGCACACATCTGGCAGGAGAATGTACCAGTCCCTCTGTCTTTTCCGCGAAGATCCCTTCTTCTTCCGCTGACAAGGCCAACGTGGGTCAGTGGGCCAGTGGTTGGGGTTTACGGTGCCGAAACAGGAAGGGATCTTGAAGGGAAGACGGAGCGACTAATTTCACGCATATCCGGCACCGCGTTTGGTACGCCACTTGGTCCTCATGTTCACTGCATCCGGTACCTTCTAGGTGCCCAGCGTTTTGGGTTGCCGTTCAGGCAAGTGCGGTGTTGGTGTGGTGCTTCGGCAGCACAAGGTTTCTTAGCCAATTTGTGGGCTTGGCCACTACGTCGGCGCTGGTCGTGGGCCTCAAGGCCACGGGCTCCAAGAACGTGGCCGGTGCAGTAGTCAGAACGTACCGATCTTTGGACTCCAAAACAAAATATTTCGTTTTCGAGAGGCCCCTTGCTGTTTCTGCCATTTGTTAAAGGTAGATCGCTGTCGGTTAGACGAACCACCCCTCTGCTTGCCCGCCATTCCTATTCTTGTACAGTCCCCGGGGACTGTACAACGGGCCCGCTTGCAACCAGGGAGTCAAATAAATCATCCTGATTAACTAACAAATTCTTCTATTCGTCATCTGCTGACGAATGTCATAATATGTGATTCACATATGACTAGACTTTGCATAATTCCATCTCATGCCCGGACGGCGCCAACTTGCCACAAGCCGTGCTTCAATCCGAATGTTGTGCTGCAAACTACGCCCAAGCAGATCAAGTTGCGTCAGATTGACCGGGCTGTATGTGGATGGCATTTTGTGCCCAGTGCACTGATCTTGCCGGAGAAATCCACCCGCATGGCGCAGGTGCAATGCCTCACCGGGAACTGTAACCGGAGATCGAAGGACAGCCGTTGGCTGCAGCACTCTGCGCCCAACGAAAGTACAGTGACGCCCCATATACAATACTCCCCCCCTCCCAAACAGAAGTACAGTACAGTACAGGACAGCGTTCTGCAAACACCAGAGTAGAAAGTTAGCGGCGAAAATGCCGATCTCTTCGACCTTCCCGCAAACCATCCGCTTCATGACGGCATGCCAATTGCCAACGCCGGTTCGCCCCACACCATTTTCGTTTTGAAAGCACCGCACGTCCGCGTCCCGTCCAACAGCCCACCCTTCCGTCTCCTCCCGACCACTCCAGGGCGGCGACCTCCAGGCGCTTGCCGATGGCGCTGCCTTTCAATCAGATCGAAAACAAAAACCGCTTCTTTCAGACAAAATTGACTTTCAGCGAGCAGTAGCACATTTGGCCAGTGCTGTGCAACAGTCCTAAACCTCCTCAATGTGACCTCAACGCACTGCCTTCGTCACCCTCGAAGTTGGAACTTTCCATGTGAAACAGCCATCAGCATATTGCTGTACCATGTGGCGACAAGGGGTCCATGTTCTTCGCCCTTCAATTCCATCCAAGTACTTTATTCCAGCTGACGATGGCCCAAAAAACACATGGCAGACCCTCTCGCCCGTCGAAACTTTATGGCGTAATATCGCAGGCATCGAAAGCCACTGATTGCATCACGTGCCCGAGCCCCACCAGCCAGGAACCTTAACCAAATAAAACACTTAAACCAGCGATTCACAGCAACCCTACACTCTCGAAGATCATATCAGTACTCAACAAAGTACTGGCGCTCCATCGCGCTTGAACATAAACACCAAGACTCTGGAGCCCAGTAACCCCCACGAGGATCCGGCTGTGACTCATGACGCCTAATATACTCAGTTTGCCTATCGGCACTCCCAATGGTATCATAGAGCGCTCTCCAATGTGCCATTTGGGGTAATTTGTGCGGAGCAAAATTACCATCACAATGCCGGGCATTCACACCACCTCCAAATCAGAAATTGTCGTTTCCTCTGCTTCGGGTAGCTCATGCCACTGTTGGGAAGAGAGGCCTCTGCAAGGGTACGTGACGATGACGTAATCCGTGCATGTCGTGCATTGCGTCAAACAGTCACCGCTGACTTCCGACATGAAGACGCCGTTGTTGACCACCCAGTTCTGCACTGTGCTGCTGCCGTCCTGACAGGGCGACATGACCACCTGCTCCACCAGAGCCTCCTTTCATGCAACTTTCAATTTAATAGTGAAGGTGCGTTTAAGCAGAACCAACTATTACGAGGACCACTCTAGGCAAGTTGTATAATCAAAGTAATAAATATTTTGCAGCCTTTGGCGATAGACATGGGCTCTTTACCTGAGTGCAAACTTGCTATGGATACATTGCTCTATGTCTGAGTTCTTTTATATCAAAATCAATAGCATTGTGGTTTGTTCTCCAGAGTTTTCCTTCGGCTAATATCTTTGTCAACTTCAATCGTCTTCAGTGGTTATATTACCGACATACGGGTAGCAATCATTACTCAATGTTGAATACTACACAATACTGGTTACATTGACAGTAGCAAATGGCAATCAAAGTACTACATACTAAGTCCTGTGCCAGAGAATTTCTGTGGAAATAGTGATAGGGAAAGCGAAATATATCAAATGCGCAGAATGGATGCCGCTGCCTTGCTTCGTGTTGGTCAAACGATTTGTTGCCAATTACTTGTTCACCTCCACTCCAAAGAAGTGGAGAAACAGCAGGGTGGCGGACGCGTTCAATAAAACAGTGAAACAAACAAATAAACAAAAAACCCAACGAGTAAGTAGTCACACAACAAAAAGAGCCAACAATCACGTTGTAGTAGACAAGAAGTAATGCATCGATTCAGAAAGTTTAGCACTTTAAAATAAAACTAAGTGAACGAACAAGCAAATCGAACAGCAACGCAAATTTTTCAAGGCATGCCGCATTTCTTCAGCCAAAAAGCAACCTTCCTTCCAGGCGGCTTCTGTCTATCGTCATCATGAAAATGTACGTAACAAGGCAAGGAGGTAACGGTCAGCTTCCTCATTTGCCCGAGAAAAGCGGCGTTCATGATCTGTCGATTGAAATCTGGTGCACAGCGCCAACAAAGTCCGGAATCCATCAACTCCCAATTTTGAGAAATGTTCGCCGGTTACGATGCACAGGAAGAATCATTTTCTTGGCAAAAAGTGAAAAGAAACTGTGCAAGCACAGTCACGTATATTCAAATAAATATATAAATGCAGATGTAAATTTATGTACAATTGTGCAATATCTCATAGTGATATTGAGAGAAAATGCGTATCATCCTCCGTGGCCTCTGTCAATCACCTGCGTCATCATGTCATCCCGGTACGAATGGCAGTCGTCGCCCTGGCACACACTCAGGCAGTAGCTGTTCACTGCGGATTTGACCTTGACTCCAGGCCCACCCAGGTACCAGCCCTGCGTGCTCTGAAACGCCCGGCACTCGTCCACGCTCGTTTTTGTGTCACTCCCGTCCGAACCCGGGTAGTAAGACAGGCACAGGCCGTTCACAGCGGAGTGGAGGGAGAAGACATCAACGTTGACTGAAGTGTTGACATTTGGGGGATTGATGGCGGGGATAAATGGGCGAGCGGTTGCGGGGAGGGTGGGCGCCACAGCGGCAAAGAGGATGAGCGCAGAGAAGGGAAGATTGGCCATCTGGAGTGCAAAGAAAGCGAAAAGGGGTGAATGTTGAGGCTTGCAGAATGAGCCCCAAAATATGCGGACGTGGAAAGGCGGCTTGCAAACTGTGAGGCTCTCTGTGGAGTGGCCTCACAATATCAACATGTGGGACCACGGCCCACAAGCTGGGAGGATGTTGGGCATCTGGAGTGCGGACAGAGCAGGCAGAAAATTGCTGTTGAATTTATTTTCTGTTGAGCTTTCTGTTTCTTGCCATTGTTGTTTACCTTTGTTGAGTCCGGAAAGAAACCGATTGGGTGATGATTGGAAGAGGGTGGTGGGGATTCGGGGTCCCTCTGAGACACGGAGTGCAGGTGCAATGGCTAACCCGGGACCGACACGTGGGAAGTGCCTTGCGAACTGCAAGGCTCTGTTCCACTTGTTGTTTTCAGGGACCAGCTGGGTCACTGCTGAGTCCAATTCGAACGATGACGGCCCAACCCGATTATGCTTAAGTTGAGGAGGAGGGTGGCAGCATTCAGGAGAAAAAACAGTCCGGCCAGGCAGGGGGTGCCTCTAGAGATGAAAGACGCAGTTTCAGTAGGTCGGCCGCGAGCTCCTATTCCCATGGCTGTGCCTGCGGTTGAGAGGGTGCATTGGGTAAAGTCGTCAATAGGAAAAGAATTTCCGTTGAAAAAAAAGTTCCCTGCTGCTTGAAGATTGGCGTCACCAAAGGTGACTGGGGATCAATGGCAGCCGCACAGTGCAAGCCTCAAGGACAGTGAGGAGGCGAAATTTTGCATTGCCGGGGGTAGACTAGCGGGGGCAAGGCACGTGCCATCGGTAAAGTAATGGGGACGGCGCATGGGACAACTTCTGGAGACCGGCAGCGTTGGGCGGGTGGGTGCGGATGATCGGTCTCCGTGTTGGCTGGCGTCCAGCGTCATCCACTGGCCAAGGGAGAGGGGGTTCTGTCGAATGGCTGCCCGCACAGAGCCAGCATGCAGAAACAACGGGCTCCGAACAGGTCTCTGTGGGACTCTGAGGCAAAGAGACCAGAGCGAGCGTGCAAATCTGTGCCGCCAGAGAAACTTGGTGCGACGTCAGTCCACCGCCCATTTTCCTGTGGGAAGGCTTTGCGCCCGATCGGCTCTCGTGCGCATACACGACGGGCGCGGAGTTCAGCCTGGATGCGGGCGACGGGCCTTCTGGGCCGCGCATCCGGAAATGGATTGTCGAAAAGGGTTCGACGCCCAAGGGCTCGCCAGCGCGGCCGTGCATTACTCAACAGGGGATAGGGAGCCAAAGCGAAAGACTGGATCTCCGGGCGCCCAAAACTGCGGGGCGTATTTCCAGTGTGGGTTGGGCTGGGGAGGCCTTGTGAATTGCCCTTCGCAGGCCGCGGGGCGAGAGGGTGGGTGAGTGGGAGAGCAGCAACGTCGTTACCGGCACGGGCGCCAACCGGATTCAGCGGATCCCCGCCGACAGGCGCCACTGCTCGCCGCGCCGCGCGAGCCAGCTACCAATCGATCGTCAAGATGCGTCAGGTCACCCGCCCATTGCCCAGATACTGGATTCTGGATGCCTTGGCGCGGAGATGCCAGTCCCGCCAGAAAACCATTCCCGCGAATGTCGGCAAAGGACCCTTCGGAACGGAAATCGGCCTCCGAGGTTCCGATTCGAATTTCCCGATCGCCCATCGGCCCCGCGGAGGGCGCGGGAGGGCGCTCACCGATGATGAGCGCCTCGACTTGGGCGGATGGTCGGCAATGGATGTCTCCAGGTTCGACAAGTGGCCCTTCCAAGGAACCCGCTGGGAGATTTGATGGCTGCGATACCGAAAGTGCGGCGTGCGCCTATGCGAGGGGCGGCGGTCCCGCAGGTAAAGTTGGCCCCAGCGAGGCTGCGAAAGAGGGGGGTGTGGGCATCGACGTTTCGGGGTTCGGCTGGTGTCGTGTCAGGAACAGCCAGTGGCCTACCCTAATTTCTAATTCCTAATTTCCTGATTCCTAATTTGCAGATATCTACTCTCTAATCTAATTTCTAGCATCCTAATCTCCAATTTTCTACAAGGTGTATGACGGTCCTAGTGGCGTCACAACAGGGTGCTGACATAATTGCGCAGCTTGAAAATTTACAGGAAATAAGGAAATGTTCGTGACGGCCGTTCATTAAAGAGCATCTTTTCATTATACGGCTCTGGCTGCCAAAATCAAGGGGCAGCTGTGATTGAACACCCAAGAGCCAAGGTGTCACTGCCCGGGTGAATGGACCATGTGCTTACTACATAATATCCAGTGTCTGAAACTACACTTTCAGCACACAGAAATGTGTTTGATGCCTTCCCTCTTGGCAGGACACGGCCTGCCACTGTGTAGTGCGCAATTGCAGCCCATTAGCATATTTTCTGTGCATTCTTGACCAAAATAGCATTTTGGAGCCACATATTGTAACTTTACACAGGTTGTACACACACAAACCACTGCACCACACAGCCACATTACAAACCAACGCCATTCTACACCTTTCTGACTTGGGCACGTGCTGGAAGTTTCACTTTTACGCTCACATCCTTGCACACTCCTTGGGTGGCTGCGGCTACCCTCAAGGGAGCCCCACGTTGTTCCAGCGCGCGCCCTCATGCTGCGGCCCCTCCAAGCTTCTCCTCTCCACCGGGCGACACCTTCTCGGGGCCTTTCCATGGCGGACGCCACCATCTCCGTGTCAATGGATTTTGATGGTCAGATCTCCGATGGCCAGCAATCGGCGTCTCGCCATGGTGGGCGCCTTGTGGGCATCCTTCACCGGTTTGGGCTGCACCTTTAGGGCCTTCCCGGCCTGCTTGAACCGTGCGCTTTGCCTTGGTTATGCAGTGGATGGCTTCTCGGGGTCCTTTGGGCATTTGTGGCCATCCCCGAATCGGATTCGAGGGATGTCTTGAAGTGATCATTAGGCAAACCGCCTAACGGACATGCCACTGAAACAGCGCCCTTGTGGGTGCTGTGGTTGCTCCCCTGCCACTATGAGCGGGGGTGCACGGCCTCCTCGGCCGCCACCCCCCAGCTCGCTCTCTCAGCGGGCTTTTGGTGGTGTGGCACCTTGCGGTGCTGCGGGGTTCATTTGTTGGCTAGGACACCTCAAGTGCCGTATGGCCTAACGTGATGATCAACACCCACGGCCACACGCACACCTATCAATCACTAAATTGTGTTTGCACGTCCACAAAACGCACTCGTTTGACCCCTTCAAACGGTCCACTTGACCCCATAACCGCAACACCAGCGTCAGCAAAATGGCTACACAATCAAAACCATTTTACACATTTTTCAGGATGGGGCTGTGCCTCCTTTGTGCAACAAAACGCCATAGTAGTGGTTGGGCATTTAAAGCACTGTCTAGTACTTGAAACACACAGACATGTTGCAATGGGGTAATGCACACAGCCCCAAATGCCAGACACAGAATATATAGCCAAACTTCAAAAGCAACTTGCCCAGCCCTCTAACATCACTCAACCACTATAAAGGCGCAAGACTAAACCCAATAAAATGATCAGGAACACGTTCCAAAAAGTGACCACACAAGATTAGGCAGCCTCTTCTAAGAGAACCTCAACAACTGGCCCCCTTTTCAAGTTAATAAAATTCCATACTATTACAAGTACAGAAAACGCGCCCTTGCACCTGCGCAAAACCCTCACAGCACATTGCTACTCCTCCCTTGTGTCCCACACCACCAAGGGAAGGTGGGCGTGGCTCATGGGCTATAAAAAGCGCATTGGAAGCTGCGCAACCATAGAAAACAAAGTGGTTTCACATACGCAACCACTTTAAAGACAAAACAACCCTTTTAATGGTCCAACAAAATCAATCAGCCCTCCCCATTCAGAACACAATGGACGAGTTATTGGTCCTTCCACAGAACCATGCACAATCCAGTGCACTTGTCTTTTCAAAATAGCCATCAAACTCTCACACGTTCCCTTTTTACCACTAGGCCAAACCGTTACCATTTTTTCACAGTAAGTAAACACTTTTGCCCTAAATTAGTATGGCTTGCACAGCCAACCATGGGGGAAGTATAAAACAACACTGTCAACGCACAGGGTGAGGGGAGTCAACCTACTTATGACTCTCACTCCCTTACCCTAGTCGTGCGCTGAACTTGTAATGGCCATCCTGGCTCATGACTTTTAGTGCATGCAGGATTTTTAGTGAGAGAGCTAAAAATAGCCTTGTATAGCACAAGGACTGACACCGTGCCTAGTCTCTGAAATCCCACAGAGCCAGTATACATGCCATATCAGCCCTGTGTGTGTAAGTACATTTCAAGACTTCTGCTTGAACATAACCTTAACATATCACATGAAATACCATTTTTCATGTAGATTACTGGACTAGTTGTCTCTCCTCGCCAGGTCAGACAGCCCAGATGGTCTTTCTCAGACCAGGGAATAGTTGGTCAGACTATCCCAATCCACCCACACAGCCTGTGCCCTTGAGGACCAGGACCTCCCAGAATTGTGATTGAATCCAATCAGTCTGCGGCACTGAATGGTGACATGAATCTGGTGAGAACACAGGGTGGCATCTCACATCCAGCCCTTGTCTCCCTAACCTTACACCGCCCTTGTTCTCATTCCTAAGGTTTGCGGCTGACTGATCATAACCTATTTTTGGAGTGTTTTTTCTTTGTTTTCTTTTCCTTTTTGTATCAGCAATGGTGGCATACTCGGGCCATCCCATGCAATGTGCACAGTGCATATGGTAGATACCCATCGTACGCCAATTACGTAAGTGATCCAACCAGTGAAAACGGTGGCCACCATGTGGCGTCAGGCTTGGTTTTTACGTTTACGTTTACGTTTTTACTTTTACGTTTTTATGCGTAAAAACGTAAATTTGCAAAAGGGCTTATTTTACGGCTATTTTTACGTTTTTACGGCTTCCTGGGACGCCCAGATTACATGATGAAAGTTGCGTACAGTGGTCAGTCCTCCGCCGTATCCAGCACCCACAACACAGTGTCCACCTCGCCCTTGGCAATGGCGATGATGGTGTTCAACAAAAACTCGTCTTCCGCCCCTTCCAGGGCGTCTGGTTACCACTCTCCGGACTCCGTAACTCTGTATGTACTGTCCTTATGTACACCGGGCAGCTTTTACGTTGTATTTACGTATTTTTACGCATTTTTACGCGTAAAAACGTAAAAACTGTTTTTACGCGTAAAAACGTAAATGCGATCAGTTTTTACGGCGTAAAAACCAAGCCTGTGTGGCGTCACGAACAGAGAAGTAATTGACGATTCTGGGACGCACTGCACATAGTCTCGGGTTGGGGACAATTGGCAGCAGCGCTTCTGAAGCGGCGCTTCAGAATTGTCGAACAGACTGCATTTGGGTCTGGCAAGGTTTGGACGACAGATTTGTTGAGTTCGTTGCATTCATCCTACACCAGAACATTTCTTCAAAAGGCTTTCTGTCAAGCCTTCGATCTTTGTAGGCTATCGCTGCACACCAATATCCACCATTCCATGCTTACAGCGACCACAAGCCCTTCAGCTCCATAGAAATTTCCCAACCTGCACTATGGTGGACGTATCCAGTCCTGCTGCTATCGGGGTACCTCAATCTGGCGCCATGAACTTTGCGATGGAAGCAAGACGCACTCTGTGTCTCCCGACTCATACGCCCTGTCCACCGCCTCCCAATACGGCACCCCCTCGTAAACCCACCCAGCGGCCACGGTCAGAAGGTCGTAAAACATGACGAGCAACAGCGTGCTGAAATAAAAGGTCATCATAAAAGTCCATCTGACAATCGCTGCCTTATCGTTGCTCGCCTTCAGCAGCGTCGCTCCCCCAACCACGCCCGTCAACAGAAGCATCATCACCCAGAAGTAGGGCCAGATGATCATGGAGTAGCCCATAAAGGCAAAGGCGGCGGGGAGCAAGTAAGGAAAGTTGAGCAACCGCTCCAGCCAGTTTGGCGCCTTCGACCACAGCATTCCTCCAAGCCTGATAGTCCCAGGGCGGTTAGCGTTGTCTGCGCCCTTGTTGAGTTTGACGAGCCACCATGTGGAGGCAGTCGTGTGCCCGGGCGCCCCGCACAGGCCTCCGATCTTCCAAATGTGCACGACAGCCACCAGCTTGCAGCGCGTTTGCATGTCCTCCAGACTGGTGCCCTGGACAAGGTACGGACCGTGGGCCAGCTTCGCATACACTCACTGAATGAGGCCCAGCCCCATGGCCTTCATGCCCAGCCTCGAGGTGGCGAATGCCTCGCCGACCACGCTCTGCACCTTTGCTATCCACATCAGCGCCCCGACTTTGTTGGAAACCGCCAACACCAAATTTTCCAGCATGGGCGCATGTAGAATGACCGTGTTCATCCTCTTCGAGGATGGACACCCTCAGCGTAAGAAAGTCTTGGCCGGTGAGCGTCTCAGCCTGCCGCTGCTCGCCATTGAAAACCGCGGCGTGACATTTCAGGTCCTCGCTTCTGTCGCGGCTCCCATTCCTGTACATGCTTTTTATGAAGTTTAGCCTCACTGGGTCCCCTCAGGGTTGAGCCATTGATGCTTGGACATCGTCATCCAGTCGACGTGGGCATCCTCCAAGTACGAGGTTCCGTGTGTCAGGATGCATCGCAGATCCTAAGGCGTTTCCCCACCCTTCCTTGCCTTGCTCAGCAGCGTGCTGAATCTCTACAGACGGCAGCAGCGCAAGCCCTTGATAAATTGCCAGCATGCCCTCGCCAGGGCCGCCATGTACCTGGTTGTCCACACCATTGATCTGGACAGCTTCATGTCGCGGTTGCCTGACACGACGAAGAGCTGGACGAGCAGCATGAGCGCGCTCAAGTCCCAGCTGACACCTCGTATTCTGGTCGAAGCATCTGATGTCGTCTCATCTTATGAAGCTTCTGCCGAGGCTGCTTCGGTGATTGTGCATAGCAGAATGGCCTGGACGCAAAGAGATGCCAACTGATGGCCGGCACCCTGCTTTCCCGTGGTGGCTTGTGCTGTTGTCTGGTAGATTTCAAACCTGAACAGCAGCACACAATGTGCATGGGCTCACAAAGTTGAGGAATACCACGGCGTTTCTCTCAATTGCACTTGGCGCGAAAAGCAACGTGACAACGCAGCGCATTGCGGCACCACGTGATGCATTGCATGTTCCCGCGCGCACAAATGACAATAGGCACAGGGATTGGCTTTACACGGCCCCGGTGGAAGTACGTCGAAGTACAGGTCCCAATACATTCGCAAAATCGCTTCTCTCATGTCACACAGACGCGGATCTAATGAGAAACAATGCGAGGTGCAAAAAGCAGGGGGTCATCCTTGCAGGCAACCAAGTTGGTTCAACCAACGCGCTCACCCCACGCAACGTTGTCTCCAAACCTTCCCCCTTCTATTCTGCATTGCATCCTCTCAAGTCCTTCGCCGGAAAATATTCAGGCCAAGCAGCTCACGCACTGCGGCAGGCAGAGGACAGCCTTCAGCGCGTAGCTCGGCAAACTTCGGCGGTGATCATTGGGGTCCCTCCCCAGAAGCAAGGTTTGAAGAGCGGCTTCCTTGTCCATATTCACCCCTGACCCCAGCCACACCCTTGCGGGCTCGCGAGCCATCGGTGCAGGCATTTTCTGTCCTGCGCCTTCAATTTGTGACGTTGCGCAAGCATCTCCTGCGAGTACCCGGGGCTGCATACCGGTGGTCCGCTACAACGAACCCTCCGTAGCCAACCGGGCCGCGCGTGGTCTGCTTTGACTCTCCGCCTCGGCACCAGACCCGGCGATAGAAGACGCCGCAGATGGCCGCGATGGGAACACTGACGAAGGTCGCAGCGAGAGCCATGCGAAAGAACCATTCAGAGCTGGGAACAAACTTCTTGGACGCAGATTCTTCGCGACCTTCTGCAGAGTGGCGACAAGCCGGTTTCCAATGGTGTGTGTGGAGATCCTGGCTGCATCCCCGTGGCCTTTGCCCTGATCCCCCTGGCGCGGCGCACGTCGTAGGGGTCGCACAGACCGGGTGGGCCCAAAGCAAAGAAGGTGCTTGAGACTCGCGCAACTGGACTTTGAAAGGAGGTCTCTTTTCCTCCTTTGCCTGCCAACCTCTGGCGTGGTTGCCTCATCCGCCAGCAGTTGAAAAATTCAAAGCATTTACGACGGTGTGCCGGCCATGATGCGCACCCAGGCTGTGCAATGTGGGCACTGCGAGTGTGGAATCCGTTGCAGAAGCAGCTCTCTGCTATGGCAGCTGCAAGCACCTTCATTTTTCGCGGAGGTCAGCGGACAATGAATGCAAGATGATATAGAACAGCGTTATATGCAGACGACCAACCAATTTGCTTGCTGGACCTCGGTAGTTCCCGTGAAACGATCTGGACAATCTGATTCCGACAAACGAAGACAATCGTGCCGCAAATGGGCGTCCTCTACACCGCAGAAAACACCAGCTTTGCGATGCCAACTGCAACGCCATTTTGACATTAGCTGGCACCACCACACACTGATGAAAACCGCCATTTTGGTTATGCCAGCTGAGATGCCGGCATCAATTAATGTCAAGCGCATCGCAGTTGGCAGGCTTGTTTTTTTCGTTTTCGTTTACGTTTTTACTTTTACGTTTTTACGCGTAAAAACGTAAACTTGCAAAAGGGCCTATTTTGCGGCTATTCTTACGTGTTTGCGGCTCCCTGGGACACCCAGGTTACACAATGAAAGCTGCATATTATAATCAGTTCTCCACCATTTCCACACCTGCAACATAATGCCCACCTCGCCCTTGGCAAAGGTGATGATGGCGTTTAACGAAAACTCGCGTTCTGACCCTTCCAGAGCATCTGGCTGCCACTCTCCGGGTTCCATAAGTCTGTATGTGCTGTCCTTATGTACACCGGGCAGTTTTCACGTTGTGTTTAAGTATTTTTACGCATTTTCACGCGTAAAAACGTAAATATGATCAGTTTTTACGGCGTAAAAACCAAGCCTGGCAGTTGGCATCGCAAAGCCTGCGCTTTCTACTAGTGCACATTGCTGGTGCATATAACTGACAATTCACACGATTTGAGAGATTTCTCAATTTAGTTGGTTGAGGTATTTCTTCTTGGCTGAAATGCGCGTTTCACCGAAGCACATTCCCAGCACTAGCAAAAAAGGGGCCAAGTAACACTTTTGCGAACACGCATAAAACACATTTCATCAAATTCTGCACGCTACGAACACAAAAATAACCCAAACCCGTAAACTTTGTACACATTTGAACACGTGTCATTTGGCCCTTTTTCCCTAGTGCAGGGATGTAAATTGTTCAGTAGGCTTTCACGCGACTTTTACAGCGTGAATGCTCCAAGACACTCTGGTCAACTTGTGGTCGTGAGCATGGCGTGGATGGTCACAGCGATTGTGCCGCACGCCATTCAGGAGCTACTCCTCTGAACTTTGTGACACTTTGGATCTGTCTCGTGGCAAATCTACATTCATGTCAAGGCGGCCAACGCCTGGACCACATGCACCTGCAAAAATAAAAAATTCACTCAGCACAATTCGAATGCGCGCTCAAAGCGCGTTGAATGACTAAAACCGACACTACAGGTGTAAAACGCATTAGAAAGCGATGACATAGGAAATGGACGGCGTGCCTTATTGCCCAATAAATCAAACACATAGATCTTCCACCGCACTCATGCGCAGGCCACGCACAGCTGTGCGTGCAAATACTGCAGTATTTGCAAATAAGTGCTCTGGCCACCCACCCACCACCCACCCACGCAAGTTGACAACACTCAGGGTCTGCGGCGCATAGAGCACTGCATCGTAGGAAAACCCTTGCTTCACCATGACCGCGGCATGGAAGTACCAGCAAGGGAATATCTAAAAGAGTGTCCAATGTTCACAACGAGGCCGCGCTGATATTGTGGCCGAGGGGGCGAATTTCTGTCTGCTCACGCCGTCTCCATTGCCATGATGGATTCAGGTTTTTGCTGCCAATTCCCAACGCCAACACGCTGTTTCCATTGCCACGCATGCAGATTTTCACGTTCACACTTTTGGCTGGATGGGGCCATTGCGGCCTGTTTTCCAATGTGAGGAGTGTGTTCCCGTAATGCCTGTCACCCATTATGCCTGTCCAGAGATTCGCATCCGCCGGCGGCCCTTCATCGCTGGGGCCTAACATCATCCACATGGCAATACATCCTCTCCATCGCCGTCCGTCAAAACGACCACCTAATCACGATGACTTCACAGCAGCGCGGCTACTAATTAGGTTAGTTTGGTTATAACCTTGGTTTACTCAGTCGGTGGTGATTGTGGTCCGTCAGTCATTCTTAAGCAGTGGTGACGTGATTGCCATGGTCACACAGGCATCCGGTCCCCCGTCCGCCATGCAAACACATAGAAGGTGATTTTTGGACACACTTCCAGGCGGGCTTCCACAAGCGGTATCCCTTGCCTCGGGTCCCATGGCCATGGACACCTCTTTGCGGAGACCCACTCTGCGGGGTCCGTCATGCAAACACACGGAAGGTGGTTGGGACATTTTTCAGCCCGGCTTCCGCACACAGCTACCTCGGCTACCTCGGCACCAATGGATGCCTATAAGTCTGTGCGGCCATTCGCGTTGGCAACCGCTCGCTCCAGTCCTTCCCAAGCCAACGGCGCAAACTGACCGCCGGTCCCCCTTCGTAATCAGGAGGATCCTGTGGACATTCCTGAGGGTGCGCCGTTAACGGTTGCCCAGCAACGTTGCTGGGCCCTCGCTGGGGTGCAGCATTCCAGCAGATCCGGCAAACTTTGAGGTAAGGCGTGGGTGTCCAGTGAGCAGCCAGGGCAACCCAGCGCCGATGTTTGAGTGTGAGGTCGCAGACGCCGCCTGAAACCAGTGTTCCGCTGCCAATCGAACGTCCTCCGCTATTTCGCACCTCGTTGGCTGCCGTCACATCGTTGCAACCGGACGACTGGTCTTCCAACCACCAGTGCTGCTGGTGCGCCCCGCGTCTCTTGGTCGCACGAACCGATCCGCGGCATTGAATCGACACCATGGGCTGCGCGGGTTGTCCCGGGAAGCATACGGGATTCAGGTAGTCGTTTGCTGAGGGGTCCAGTTGCCATGTCCCCCTGGGCTTCCGCCGGACTTCCTACGCGCGATCTCCGTTGTGTCGTAAACGCCAGAGTGACGCGGCTGCCCCAGCCGGTGGCCGGGTATTATTCGTATAAAGGGCCGTTACCGAGCTCTTCCTGTTGGTTGGGAGGAAGGCGTCTCCAGTCCGGACAGTGCCAGAACACGCGCTGCTCGCTTCCGAAGCGCTGGTTGGTGTCACTGTGCGCATGCTGGCCCGGATTGCGCGAAGGAGCCAGTCGCGATGTTTGGCGGGGGATCTGTTGACAAGGGTCTATCTCGCACGGCAGGCGAGCTCTGGTGCCGATCCAGCATCCACACCAGCTGTCTCACGGCATGACTTTAGCAACGTATGATCTTGAGCAGCTGCAGTAACCGTTGACGGTTCTTTTTCGCTGCTGGGGGCCGTGCCCGCTGGCTGATACTTCAACGACGCCGCCCTGCGAAGGAAAGCTCGCGTGCAACTCTGCGCCCCTCTTTTCAAAGCCCCTCGCATGGAAGCAGCGGGGCAAAATGGGGCCTGGGCTCCCGTTCTGGAGACGGGAGGTCGGGCATTTTCTCGTTTCAGGGAGTTGGTACGCTTGTGCGAGGAATTTGATGAATATTGACAAGAATCCATTCTGGAAGGGACTCTTCAGGGGCGTGCGCGGAACGGTGAGCGCCAGCAGCGCAATCAGCAGGAGCGTAGTAAGGTGCGCGTTGGGTGCAACGTCTGGGTACATTGGGATGACCAGCGGCAGGTTGTGTGTTGTCGTCCCATCGTCGCCAATCGATTATCCGCACCTAGGGACGCGGTGTGTACCCCAACCGCAATGTGTCCACCAGGGACCCTACTGTTCCTGATACCCAGACATTTGTTTGGTAGCCGTACAGGCCAGTACTGTTACAGGGTCCGGTCAATATGGTTGGGTTGAAGAATGAGGTGTTTTGCGTATTTAATGTATGTTACTTGAGTTTTAGGGCAATACGTTGCTTATTTTCTATTAAACATTTGGGTTTGTTTTTATGTACTCATTTATTTAGGGTGGGGGTACCAGACTCGGTGCATTTTTCTAGTGTACGCTTATCAACAACGCTGACATCCCCACCAAAGCACAATGTCTGGTTCTTTGCTTCGAGCGGCCATGTTGTGTCTGCTCGACAATTAACCAGTCTAGAAACGTGGGCGCTGCTGAATGGGTAAATTGAATGCTACCTAATTTGGACAATATTATCCAGGTTAATCTGGACTGAAATGAAGGCATATCCAGCTGAGCTCGTTAGTGGCGACACCTGTCCAACTGGACCTCCAACACTCGCAGCCTTGGGGGGCCCTCTTTGGGCCGCATCCCAAGGAGTGGACAATCATCTTGAAGAAAGAGACACCTCATGCCGTATCCCTTCCTCGCCGCATGGGCATGCGGGGGCAAATCCTTGTTTTTTGGTGAAAGAAGAGCTGTGCGGGCAGCCGCGGCTGTGTGCATTACATTCGTATTTCATCCCAACCCACAGTTTCGCTACTGTTCCATCCGTCCTGAAAGCCGACGCGCCTGATGGCAGATTTGGAATTGCCAATATATGCACTGGTTTGCGTAGATGTGCAACAAGCCACGGCCACAGATCTTTCTGAAGAGCACGCGCATGGAGGAATAAATACAGTGCAGTGGTGCCAAACTGTCAACATTGGACTCCATTACTTCGACTGACTTTCTACGGGCTGACTTGACAGGCGGCCCTTAACTCACCAGCTGATCAAGACACCATGTATTTGAACACGCCAAGCGCTCCCTGGCGTGTTTTTGTGCTCCTCCTGCTCTGCGCAACGGCTGGCTCGGAGAGTACGTCGGACGGCGACAATGATGAAGTCAGACTGTGCAGCCTAGGATGGGGAATCAACGCCTTCACATTGTTTGTGCAGTTTTGTCTGCTTTTTATAGTGTCAGTCGACCACACCTTCCCCCCAAGCAGAGTCATGGCATGGATGGGTGGGTGGGCATCAGCACTGATGAGCGCCTGTTGGAAAAGTGCGAAAAGCATTTGCAAATGCAGGGCAGCGCGTTTCAAGGACCTGCTGGACGAGGCAAGAGCGAACGAAAAACGTGCGCTTGATCTACAGCGTCTCGTAAGCGAGGGGGCGCCTTACCTGGTTGAACGCAGCAACGACTGGGTGTCGGTGTCTCCTCCAGGTGATATTTCTTCAGTGAGGCTGTACTTAATTCGAGGAATGTACTTGGATGGAAAGCACCTTGAGAGCAGCGATGCACAGTCGCATGCGCTGATCTTCGAAAATAGGACACAGGATGCCAAGCCTTTCTTGCATCAGGGAGGCATAGCTTTGCAAGGAGTTAAGAGTCTGGGCAGCTTGTTGTTGCACTTGGTTATGATCGTAAATGCACTGCTCGCGGTTTCAAACACGGCGGGGGCAGCGCTGTGGTTGGTCAAATTGCCAAGCGTTGTGGGTGCCGCATATGCCACATCCAGATTGGGTACGAAGGCGCTGGTATTGGGGATATGTCAATGGTTATATTCACGGTTTCCCACCGGTCTTTACCTTTTGGAAGGTGCAGACTTGGAGTACGTCCAGGCTCGTTGCAAGTACATGAAGCTCCAAAACATCTGGAAACTCACCGACTTGTACGGTGAGACCATTGAAGGAGGGAAATGCACTTGGTGGCTCATAGAAGATATTGGTCCTGGGACAAGTTGGGGCAAAATACAGTGCCATGTCAGACGCGGAGACATGCTGTGGTCGAAAGCACCGTATCTGATTGAAGGCTTCTTCAGCTATCCCTATTTAGTCCCGGGCACGTGCGCTTTCATTGGCTATTGCGTGTTTTCCTGGCCGTACTGCTGGATAGCAGCTCCGTTCCTGCTGATGCTTGCTGTACGCAATAACTGGTTGAGAGCAGGGCTGCTTCGCGAGTCCACCATCAAATCAACAACTTTTCTTATGGGGGCTCTTTTGTGGTTTGTCTTTGGGATGGTACTGGTTATGTTCTATGACATGTTCATTGTCGCGGCCGGATTTCTATACACAGGAGTGCCGTATTGGGAGGCTGTAAAGAGGACCTATGATGCGGGAGACACGGAGTGCGTCCTCAGGGACAGATTCACCACAGCGGCAGAATTTCTGACCCTTCATTGACCAATTATAACGATATGTGTCGCTAGATTCATGACGTGCTGCTGGACCTGTGGGAATTAAGAAGCAAACAGAATATTGTAATATGGGCGGAAGCCACTGGCGGGGTTATCTTGTAACGGATGTAATGGTGCGCAGAGCGAAGTACAACTGAGTGGTTCTCATGTGGATTGCATCGTCATTAGCCCGTGCTGCAGGTTTCGATGATATTACAAACGAGTACCTACGACAGACAGAAGCATTAATGAGGCCCATTCTGACCAATATTACAAGGGCTAGCTTCAGATTACCACATTTTCCAGTGTCATTCCGGTGGCGATATGGGACCATGAATAACCGATTCTGGACACTATCTGCTTGGTTTCCATGCCCATCATCGCCTACTAGGTGCACGGGCTGTGTTTTGTTATTTTGTGACAATTGTAATCCATGGATTTTGATGATGATGATGATGTGGATTGCATGTCCGCTTCTGAACAGACTTCGCAATCCTTAGATATTTGCTCCAATCGAATGCCCTCGGTTCGGCTATGCTGTTCATAGTTGGTTTTGCTCATACTCACCTTTTTGAGTTGGAGAGCGGCATTGGGCAACGAATTGGGCGCCTGCACAATGCGGCTCCGATAAGCATGGTGGGAAACTCCTCACCATGACCAGGCCTCCACAAGTCGATATTGTTTTATTATGTACGGCAACCGCATGAAGCAGTAACTGCAACGATGGGCCTGTTCCGCGCGTTGGCTGCTTGCACGTGGGCATGGTCACTCCATGGTCAGGTCACCGTATTTGGGTGTGCCCCGTCCCCACACAATTTCAAATTGACGTCCCGGAGCGGATTTTGCTTTGATTGGCTTGAATTTTTATAACGTCTTAAAGTTCTCCCTTAATGACGTGGCACACATTTTATGTCCAAATTCAAAGTTCCCAATCGGCAAATAGCCTCCCGCGGAACTGGGCAGGGTGTCCCAGGCAAGCATGGACATCAAATTTTCAAATTGGCGTTCCGGAGCGAGATTTGTTCCAATTGACTTGAGATTTTCACCACATACCTTGTAGCTGGTGGGGCCCAAATTTTTATGTCCAAATTCACAGTTCCCGCTTCGTAGTCTTCTCCCAAAAAGCGGGACAGAGTGAGTGTCACGCGTGACATCTGGTGCCTTGTTGTCTTCCCGTCCGGGGCATTCGGGGGCCGGTCGGGCCAGTCGCGCAAGCGCTCTGACCAGCGGATCGAAAGCGGAGCGCGATTTTGATTGGGATGGTGCTCAACTATCGAGCCCGGCATGGGGTCGTTCATGGAAACGCCCTAACATGGCTGCCGGCGCCACCCAGCCAAGGGCAATGCTTCCCCTCCCAACACCTTACGACTATGGCCAGCTTGGCGATGGAGATTAGCGATGCGCTCTCCATGAACCCAGTACCTCTAGAAGCACTCGCAGAAACTCCTAGTGCTAGAGTTTGGCAGGCAAGTAGGGTGCGGGGCGAACACAGATTTCGAGATCTTCCCGCAAACACCATATACGACCGTCGTGGGACTAGACGACTGAGCGTTTCCGACGATCGATTCCTCTCGTGCTTGGCCAGAAGGAAGTGTCTTCTCGGCCATTTGCAAGGCCTGATGAGCGGGAGTGAGGCGCTTTGTGACAGAAACCTAGTGCGGCGTCCCATCCTGCAGGATTTGTAATCACAGATGTGATCGCCACAAATTTTGCTGCGATGTGATCCCCGCGGTTGGCACGAGGGATCGATGTTGGACGGTGAAAAGTTGCCAAAAAAAGTGTTTGTGTCCGTCCCAACGGCCTCTTGGGAGATGCTAAAACCGTGCATGGCAAAAACTTAGGAGGACTGCATCCCCACCCCTCCCAATCCCATTCCTGAGTCGTTCATCCCTGAACACAGCTGCGGGCATCCGGACCTAATGTGAGTTAAGGTGGTCGCCTGTTGCCATGCAGCGCATCCTGAATTTTGACCCTGCGATCCCCGCGTTCTGAATTGCGAGGTCACATCGAACATTTCGGCTGCAAAAGGTTTTGCTGTTGGGCGTCGTACAAAGGCAACGAAAGTGGTAACGATGGAGCATGGTGCTGTAGCGCTCTCATGAGAGCTGATCAGGTCGCAGTCACAGCAGTCCACACGGCGTGAACCGCCATCGCACGGTGTCTCCGAGTTTTGTCACCGCTCTCGAGCTGCAGCGGCCAACAAGGCACGGGCGGTTTCCTGCGCAAACCGCTTGTACGGCGGTGGCCGTAGGTGTCCGATGTTTGGGCGCCTGAACATGGAGTTAACTGTGTCTTGGTGCGGTAATACAAACCATGTCATTTTCATGGTTAATATCGCAGATTTTGCCGGTGTTGAACAGCATTAAATTGGAACAAATTGAATCGCGACCAGGATTTAAATACGGTAAGGTGAATCTCTCTTGCGGACTCGGTGGGAAAACGCCTGTAAATCTTGCTCGCGCAGCTCATTCGCCGTGAGTATCCAGAGCCAATTTTGGATGCTGGGTCCACGTTACCCCGGGGCTCTGTGTTTACCTAGTCCAATCCACAATTATTGCATGATAAATGCCACGAGAAAATCAAGGGAAAATTACGGGAAGCTTTTGAACTATCTATTTTGGAATTCAGTGAATTCTGAAACAATTTAAATGACGGTATTAAAACTTTGGATACTTTGAGATGTGATAAAGTGAACAGTGGTCGATCTCAATTGAACTACCAACACTATTTATGAGACTATCAACGCCATGGTATTGATTATATTGCATGATGCCAGCACAAGATATGCATTCATTGCCATAGTTAGAATTTCCGGGTAATTGAATTAGTGAGAAGATTGTAATTGATCGACATTAAGCTCCTGAGTGCACAGAGGATATCACATTTGTGATACTGCGGTTGAAAAATGTTGAAGCGAATTTATACACAAGAGCGCCAACACAGCATCAGAATACTCAGCCGCCATTTCTCTCTGCACTTGGCGCAAGTGGCATATATTTAGTGAAGCAATCATGATGCCCTGAGAAATACTATATTTTGACGTAGTAAACATTATATAGTAGTAATTGGGATTGTACTGGAACATATATCAGATGTTTTGAAATGCACCTTCACACCGTTCGTCTCTCTGAGGCTGTTCTTTCACCGTCACCAGATCCACCTTCAGTAATATTTCCGCATTCCCCATCCCAAATGGAGGAAAGGCTAGGCAGGAATGAGATGCAGGCGCGGGAACGTCCGCATGATCAGTGTCTCGACGCCCTGGTGCATTTGATCGACAAGGCCGTTGCCCTAATCTAAAAATCCACGAGAGCACTGCGTTCTCTTACGCGAGGAAGTTTGATTGCCCAATGCCAGCGGAACCAGGCTTTTATTAATGTGTATGGGTGCAGTGCCTCACACACGCAATAAGCACCAGACGTGCTACTTGTGTGTGACAACCTTCGCGCTCTCGTGCACTTTGCAGGACATTTATTGGCAAGGCGTGACAACACGCAAGTGCATGCTGCATGACCTTGAAAATCAATCCAATTTCGCATTTCATCGACGGCCCGACATTTTCGCCAACCATGCCGTTAAAAGGGCAATTGGGGGTAGGCACCAAGCGTTTTTGGAAAGGCGTATTCAAGCCGGTCAGTTGCCGCATCTACGACCTTCTTTTGAAAGATTACCAAGAGCGCGGATGATGTCACCTCGATGGCGCTATCGGCTCTGGATGGGCATAGAACGAGCGTTTGCTCTACCACGTCGTCTCCCTTGAGGAGGCGGTGAGCTGGAGAATGCGTAATATGGTTGCGCAGTTTTTGAACGGCTTGTCCAGCGTCTGTATGTGTAATGGTGCACTATGAAATGATTACACGCGTGCTTTCATAATTGCGAGTAAATATGGTGCCGTGAGTGTAGTGCCGTTAACGAAAGCTACGAACCCACTGGGCTACTTTGCCAACCCGGGTAGAATCCCTGTAAATGCATGCGCAGCATTAGTGCGCTGACTTCATTGTGGCGGAATTTAGCAAGAAGACTGATTCGATCCAATAGTAATACTGTTACCTTACACCGTGTGCCTTATATGTGGTTTGGGTTGGATTGGATTAGATTAACTTCAAGGTGCAACACGCCTTACGGCTCACAGGGTCCAGGGTGTGAAGATTTAAGTTTCCCTACTCTGCACCTTCATCGCCCTAAGGCATTCAAAGTACTACATGTAGTACATCCGTCTGCATCGCCATGTACCAAAAATCATCATCACCTAATCATCACGTAATCACGATCACTTCACAGCAGCGCGTGGTGTATAATCCAGCTGGTGGTGATTTTGGGCCTTCAGTCACTCTAAGCAATGACCACGGGATTTACCATGGTCACACATACAGCCCATATCGCGCATGCCATGCAAACACTTCGAAGGTAATTTTGAACCTCCCTTCCAGCACGGACGCCACAAACGGCACACGATACCTCGGCACCAATAGCCACGGACACGTCTTTATCTGTGGGGCCCGCCATCCAAGCACATGGAAGGTGGTTGGGACAATTTTCAGCCTGGCTTCAGAACACAGCACCCGAAACCTCGGCACCAACGGCCATTCACACCAACGACGCCAGCCGATCACCGGTCCTTATTCGCAAGAAGGAAGCGTGCGGACACTCCTGAGGGTGGGCCGTTGCTGGTGCCTCGCTGGGGTGCAGCATTCCAGCGGGTCCGCCTGATCTTCAGGTAAGATATCACTGCCCCTAAGGGTAGGCCTGGCGCCAGCCTCAAGTGACACCACTCTGATGTGAGCCCGTGAGCCCGTTCGTTTTCTCGCCAAGTCCTCTCCGCCGCCAACGACGCAAGCTCCTTGCAGATCCTCGTTCTGAAGACGAAGGCTTTTGGCCTCTCCGTAAAGGGCCACCGTTTCAAGGTTGATGAATTGCATCGTCACCGCGGTACGGTGACGTACTTCACAGCCACGCATTAAGTTGCCGGAGCGAACCAGCTGCAGGGGTATAGAATGGGGTTGCCGG